CCTTGAGCCCCTTGTTGATGATTTGAGAAAGATGTAGGACGAAGGAGTTTCTGTTTTTGATGCCCATAAGAACGAGATGTTCCTATTGCGTGCAGCCCTTATGTGGACCATTAATGATTTTCCCGCATATGGCAACCTGTCCGGGTACAAGAACAAAGGGCGTAAAGCATGTCATATTTGTATCGATGACACACCAAACGTGTACCTTAAACACTACGGCAAAGATGTGTACGTCGGGACCCGAAGATTTCTTAGGCGCGATCACTCATATCGTAGGCAGAAAAAGGCCTTCAATGGGAAAGTGGAAGAGGGGGCTGCACCTAGGCCATTGAGTGGACATGAGGTGTATGGTCGAGTGAAGGGTATACCAACTGTTTTTGGTAAAACATCGAAACCTTTAGACCCACATGCTCTCTTTAAAAAGGAATCGATCTTTTGGAAGCTTGAGTACTGGAAAGAACATGATGTTAGACATTGTCTCGATGTGATGCGTATAGAGAAGAATGTTTGTGATGCAGTTGTTGGGACAATAATGGGTATTCATGGCAAAACAAAGGATGGAAAGAGCGCGCGATTAGGTTTGGAAGCGTGGGGGGTTCGTCCGGAATTGTGGGTCCAGCCAAAGGTAGGGAAGGCAAAGGTAATGGAAAAGGTAAGCGAAGATGGTGGCAAAAAACGTAAGGGTGAGCGCAAAGGAAAGGGCACCGGTGTATTAAAGAAGAAAGATGATGGAAAAGGCAAGAATGAAAAGGTTTATTTACCTCCAGCTTGCTACACATTGTCAAAGGAAGAAAAACGAAAGTTCTGTGCTTGTTTGTATGACATTAAGGTTCCATCTGGTTTCTCGTCAAACATGAAAAGATTCGTTTCCTTAAATGGGGAATTGAAGTTGACTAGTATGAAATCCCATGATTGTCACATGATGATGCAAGTATTCCTACCGATTGCAATTCGCGGTATTCTACCGAAGCACGTGAGAGAAGCTATTACAAGCCTTTGTTCGTTTTTCAATACCATATGCAGCAAAGTGCTTGATCCTTTTACACTTGATGCTCTCCAGGCGAATGTAGTTATAACTTTGTGCAAATTTGAGATGTATTTCCCACCGTCATTTTTTGACATAATGGTGCATTTGGTTCTTCATTTGGTTCGTGAGATTAAGATGCGTGGTTCAGTCTTTATGAGGTGGTGCTATCCTTTTGAAAGACATAGGGCACATTGCAACATAAAGTCAGGAATCCAACCCATCCAGAAGGTAGTATGATTCAAGGGATTGTGGCGGAGGAGATTGGTAATTTCGTGGCGGAGTATCTTGCTGTTGTCGAACCAATTGGGCTTCCCACTTCCCGACATGAAGGGAAACTTGATGGTCATGGCACACTCGGTTCGAAACGGATCTCATCTACTCATGATCAGTTCTTCCAAGCTCACCTATTTGTGCTTCATCATGTTGCGGAGGTTCACCCATATTTAGAAGAGCACATGGATAGTTTGCGTGCGGAATTTCCATCAAATGGGGAAAGGGAACTAATGCAGTTGCATAATAAGATGTTTGTGACGTGGTTCCACGATCGAGTTATGCGTCAATTGGACGAGAGTGTCTTTGATACTATAAAGTGGCTAGCTTATGGTCCAAAGGAAGATGTTTATTCTTTTGAGGGATATGACATAAATGGGTATACATTCTAGACTGAGCATCGTGATCAGAAATCCTCATCGACTCAAAATAGTGGTGTTACTCTCGTGGCTTCATCAAGAGAGTTTGCAAGTGCGAAGGATACAACACCGGGTTGACGCACAATTATCCTACTACGGACGAATTTAGGAAATATGGGAACTAGATTACCGTGAGTTCAAGGTAGGTCTATTTAAGTGTAAATGGGTCGATAATAATAGGCGCAACGTCAGACATGATTACTTCACTCTTGTAGACCTTGGCCACTTGCGGGATAGTTTGGAACCATTCATCCTTGCATCTCAAGCTAAGAAAGTGTTCTATGTAACCGACCCAGCTGATCCAAAATGGTCCATCGTCCTTGCTAGCAAAAGAAGAATTTTAGGGGTTGGAGATGTTGAAGACGAGGAAGAATATGATGCGTTTGATGATTCACCCCCTTTCACTGCCCCTAGACTTGATGTAGCAAATGATGTAGACAAGGATGCAAATTGTATTCGATCAGACCACAATGAGGGAATACTCAAATGAGGTACATTTTTTTTCTATGCATCGTAATAACAATCCCATTTTTGCCATTTTGAACTTATTTCGCTCCTATAACCTTGTATTAGCATGAAATCAATGACTTTTAAGCATTTTCAACTTGTAAACATGTTTTGTATACCAAATATGAGTTGTTAGAAGGATTAGATGTGAACTAGGAATGAAAATAAAGAAGTTGGGAAAGTTAGAACCTCATTTTTTCCATTTTGAACTTATTTCGCTCCTATAACCTTGTATTAGCATGAAATCAATAACTTTTAAGCATTTTCTTGTCTTACTAATGACTGAATGAAAATAAAGAAGTTGGGAAAGTTAGAACCTCATTTTTGCCATTTTGAACTTATTTCGCTCCTATAACCTTGTATTAGCATGAAATCAATAACTTTTAAGCATTTTCTTGTCTTACTAATGACTAATTATTTGCGTTGCTTGTGGTGGTAGGTGTGTACATAAAATGGGTGGTGATGAATACCTTCACCACGAAGAGGATATGGACGATGAAGATGACCGTGGTAGTTCTCAATCTGGTGACGAGTTGTATGATATCAATAAGGAGCAAGATTTGGGTGAACCAGAAGACCAAGCTCATGATGACTTGCAGCGTAGGCTTGATGCTTATGAGATAACAGCTGAATGTGCCCCCCTATTATGGATGATATTGTCTCCGAGTTTGTACGAGATTCACAAGGACAAATGCACATGCAATGTCAAGTGAAAACCACCGGTGGTGGAAAGGCACCGGGGAAGAGAAAGGTTAGGGGTGCAACAAAAGCTTTTAAGAAACCCTAGGAACCCATGGTTCTTGAGTTTGACGAGTTGGGTCAACCTATTGGGCAATGGCGCAGCAAATATTCCACTCACATTGGTATTCTCACTCGTAAAATACCTATTACACTTGACTGGGCAGAGATACCTAAAGGGTTGCTTCAAATGTTTTGGGATGATACAATGGTAAGTGTTTTTTGTTTGAATTTTTGACATAAAACTTCGTACCAAAATCAATGCGCATTCACCAGAATTCACGAAAAACATCAAAATTCACTAAAGGGTTGCCTAGGCTGCTGTGTAGCCTGCTAGGGCGGCTGTGCAGCCTGCCTAGGCTGGCTGTGCAGCTGCCTGGGCTAGTTGTGCAGCCTGCCTGGGCTGCTGTGCAATTGCCTAGGCTAGCTGTGCAGCCTCCCTAGGCTGCTGTGCAGTTGCCTAGGCTGGCTGTGTAACATGCCAGGGCTGCTGTGCAGCCTGCCTGGGCTGGCTGTGCAGCTACCTAGGGCTGGATGTGCAGCCTGCTTGGGATGGATGTGCAACCTGCCTGGGCTGCTGTGCAGGTGCCTAGGCTAGCTGTGTAGGTGGCTGACCTGCTGTGTAACTAATTTAGCCTTTTTTTTTGCCCTTGACTAACATGGAAGTTTGCTATTCTTACAGAGTGTGTTTAATATTCCTGATGAGCCAGACAAGAGAAGATCGTTTGAAGGTTTTGTACAAGAGAGATTCAAAAACTTCAAAAGTTCGTTGAGAACAAGATGGATCCATAAGAAACAAAGGCATAAACCGAAGAAAATTATGATGGGTAATGCAGGAGAGGAGGAACCTGAGAAGAAACCGTGGGATGTATATCCACAAATAATGGTGAAGGACTGGGAGAAGTTTGTGGCGAAATCAACTACTACTACTGCACTTGTATGTAGTGTCATATAAATTAAAGTTGTTTCCTAAATTTTGCTCACTACATATAATGATGCGAACATTTGTTAATGTGTAGGAAAAAAGTCAACAAGCTACGAGCAATGCTGAGAAGAAAATGTATACCCATCATATGGGTTGTAAGACATTTCCGGAAAGTAGACCAAAGTGGATCAAAGAGGGTCTATACCCCACATCCAAAATGTCATCATCTGATAAACAACTTTCGTCCACGGTGACAACTTTGGTAAGTCGTGCAAATGATTGGTGGTGTGTTATGCATGGGATCGACAAGGAAACCGGGAAGTACGTCATCAAGCACTCGGATACAAAAACGGTAGCAGATGCACTTGTACGCACACAACTACATTTATGATAATATTGCACTGTTACTATTTAATATTTCCATAGAACGTACATCTAACTAGAAAATTTTTGTGTCGTTGCAGCTCGAGCATACGTCGGAAGTGGTTGAAGGCAAGCTCACTCCAAGCATAGACAACGATCCTTTTACCTTGGTGTTGGGAAAACCATACCACCCGGGGCGAGTAATTGGTTCGGGAGGGAAACAGCTAGGGTGGGAAAAGGTTATGGGTTCAGAATACACTAGATCAGGAAGAACTAGATCAAGTGTTAATTCGCCACACGATATGGATGCCAAAGAAAAGGAATCAATTAAGGCAGAGATACGCAAAGAGGTGCAAGAACAATTACAAAGTCAATTCAATGCCATTTTGAAGCACATGAACTTGCCAAGCTTGTCATTGCCACCGATAACCCCAGTGTACTCATGTAGTCACCAAAAAGACGTCGGGGACGATCCACTTGTTGACAGCGAGGTAATTGCATTACAGTTAAGAACATGAACTTCATATCGTCACACGAGGCCTTATGTAGCATAATTATTTTACTATTGCAGATTCCTAGTCCTACGCATGCAGACTCAAGGGGGATTGCAAACCAGACACCTGATCCTTTTCCAGATGTTAAGGTAAATATCAAGAGCTAATGAAATGTCCTTGTATATTAGGCTTACGTTGGTTAATTAGTTCATAACTTGTCCTAATCATATGTGTAGGATGAGACGCCTTGTGAGCTTCTTCACCCCGGGAAAAACGTGGATGGAGAGTTGGTGGGGTATGGTAGCGCACAACCGTTTGACAAGGTCCATTTCAAGTCTAATACTAACACTAGTAGAAAAAATGAAATAGGCACCTGACTTCGCACCGGTTTGAACCGGTGCGAATTAAAAAAGAGAAAAAAAAAGGAGAAAGGGGTTTCGCACCGGTTCAGACCAAACCGATGCGAAATGATGTTACTAGCACCGTGCGAAATTAAAAAAAAAATATGAAAAAAATTCCACTGACCCTTCTTTCTCTTTCATTCCCCTCTTCTTTCTTTTTGTTTCCTCAGCGCCATTTTATCTCTCTCTTCTCTCTTCTCTCTCCTCTCTCCTCAAACAAACCCTAATCAACGACCTCCTGCTCCTTCCTTATCTTCTTTCTCTTCTTCCTCTTCTTCCTCTTTCATGTTGTCGGCGTGTTGGTCGGTCCTAGCAACGGCGGCAATGGCACAAGGAGCTGGTACAAACCCACCTCTCGTCATTTCCCCCTCCCGAAATGATTTTCCCTGAAGGTTCGTGCTTTTTTCTTCTTTTCTCTTTGAATAATTTCATTATTTCGTGGTTTTTGAGTTTTTGTTTTGCTCAAATTTACAATTTCATGTTTTCGGAACCCAAGGGTTTTCTGATTTTCTATTTTAATTCAATATTACTCCATAGAAAATGTTCCTTTCTCAATTACATGCAGCACCGCAAATCTAGGGTTTATGTTTTATCTGATTCATTTTAATTGTCAATGCCGTAAGTTTAGGGTTCGAAATCTCAACTATTTTTGATGTTTGAATCAAATTTCCCTCTGAATTTTAGACCCTAATTTGATAATTGAATCAAACATCCCTTAAAATATGTTATTTTTCGAGCATAATTTGATAATTGAATCAAATAACCCTAAAAATATGTTCTTTTCGAGTTTTAAGTTTTAAGTTTTGAAGATTACTCTGTTTTTGGTTGAACAGTAATGAAATTTATCTGATGGTGATGTTGTGTTATTGAATTGTCGGATTTTTAGCTTTTCGTGTTCCGTTGAGATTTTGGGGTTTTTATTTTAGTATATGGGTGAGATTATTACACTACTAGATTTTTGTGTTCGGTTTAGTAAACTTTAATTGGTGATGCTTAATTTAGTAATCAATCTGCTTTTTTGCTCTTTGTTATGCTTGAAATTGTTAGGACTTCCGTCTGTTTTTGTTTCAATTTTTAAGTTGATCATTAGATAGATGATATATTGATAGTTTTTTAAATTAAATGTGCAGGATTTCTATGAGGATTTATTCGAGGAACTAAACAAGTACGGGGAGATTAAGAGTCTCAACATTTGTGACAATTTGGCTGACCACATGCATAAGCACAGAGACGCCATTCTCTTTCTAGTTGAAAATCATGCTACAACCATTGTTGTCGGCGAAACTGGCAGCGGAAAAACTACTCAAATTTTATTGTTTCGATTGTTAATTAATTTTGATGAATTTTGTTTGTTTTTGTTGGAATTTCTAGTATTTGAATGAAGGAGGATGGACTGATTCTGGTCATGTTATTGCTTGCACTCAGCCTCGCCGTCTCGCTGTTCAGGTATTGTGTTCTTAATCTTTCTAATGTTTTGTACTTTTGTTTTGTGCTTCTTTGCATATTACTGTAATAAGTTCTCCAGTTGATGGTTACGATGGAGAATGTTGATAATGTGGTGTTATTGATGTTGATAATGTGGTGTTATTGATGTTTACTTGTTGCTGTAATTGTATTTCTTATGTGCTAAAAAGCATATAATTTGGTTTGTTAGGTTTAAGAAAATGTATGTATTCAACAAGTTGGTAGCAAAGTGCTCATAGAGAAACAGTGACTGATTATGTAAGTTAAAGTCATTGTCAATTGTCATGGAAATTTTTTACATTTTTTATTCTGGCTATTTCGAATTCGGGAGAAGTAATATTAGTTTTTTTTACTGCTTAATAAACCTAATTCAGAAGTTATTTTAGGTTAATTTATCAATTTGAAGGGAGAGAAAAGAGAGCCTGGTTTCTAAGTTGAGAGTCTGGCTGCATTTTCGTGTTTTCCTTTTGTTTTTTTCCCGAATAAATAGAAGTATGGTTGTCTATGCTTACAGTAGCTATTGAGCTTCGAACTCTAATCTTCGATTTGGTTTTTGGACTATGTACTGTGATTCTAAAACATGTGCTTCAAAGGTGCCTTTTCCTTACAATTTGCACTGCAGTGTTTATGATGGTGAGCTCTAGCATATGTAAGCCATGTTTCCATACTTTGGTGCCTTATTTTCTGTTTTTTTGTTTTTCTCATAAAACCATAGTTTGGTGTCTTGATATGCTATATCTTTTTATTTTTTCAGGAATAAAATATAGATATGCATGCTTCAAAGTTGTGTTCAAAAGAATGTATCACTCTCATTTTTGCGCTACAATAAATTTGGGGGGGGGGAGGGAACTCTGGCATGCATATATTAGGAATGTTAGCTAGACCTATATTTTGTTGGTTTTGTTAGAGTGTATCACCTAAATATGTTTTGACAAACCTCATCCTCATCCCATGCAATCACCTTCCCTTTTATGGGACCATGAAGAAATCCCTCAATACAGAAAGCAGGTTAAGTATCAAGATAAGCCGCAAAATTATAGATAAAGCATTTGGTGATAGAATACACGACTGGATTTGTAAGCATTGTAAGAATATAAAGAGACTAGACCTCTGTGGACGCATTGGAGATGACGGAGCATATATGCTAGCTTCTCACTTCCCTCAACTTATGCACCTGAATATCCAGTCGTGTATCCTATCACCAAATGCTTTATCTATAATTTTGCAAGGCCGGACGAAACTCACTTATCTTGATACTCGACATGCTCTCTGCATTGAGGGTCCTATTCATGGTGTTATAAAAGGGAAGGTGATTGCATGGGATGAGGATGAGATTCGTCAAAAAGCAGTTGGTGTCAAAACATATTTGCATTGTGCTCGAAAATATTGCTCTTAATGTGCTCCACTCTATTCGCCGAACATTTCTCGCAAAGATTTATTCCGTTTTGATACAATGTAGGATGCCTTTTTGAGTTCAACTTATTGTTGTTAACTTGCATTAAAATATCGATATGATAAATTTATATACTGGTCATGTTGTGGATCGTCTTGCAGACTTATTTGCAGTATAGTTTATGTGCATTAAAAAGAAAATTAATTAATTATTGGGTCATCTCTTTGAGAGTCTTAACTGAAGTTCTACTGGACTTTAGACCTGTACCCAGACCAAAGTCATGGGCTAAGCTTGTGTGGCTCATATCTGAATTTATGCAATAAAAAGAGAAAATGGAAAAAGGAAAGGTGAACAGATTTGGAAGTTCTATTCATTGGAATTATGTATAAACTCTGACTGTTTTGTACATTACTGTTAGCTATGGATTGCACTGGTAATGACATAGAATTCAGCCTGAACTAATTAAGAGAGTAAAATCTGATGAGGCAAAACTTATAGGAGGACCATATTCTGTACTCAGTTTAACTCAACTATCTTTATAAAAAATTGGTAGCTTATTGGCAGATGTACAACAATCTTTAGTGTTTTTAGACCTTTATTTTCTTGTATGGACCTTGTAGTTACTCTCTTATCTGTTGTTTCAATTAAGCAACTAATTTGTTCAAAAGTCAGCTTTGATGTCTTCTTTGGGTTCAAATATTTTGCTTCCTGCATAAACATGAATGGCTTTCATGCTTTTTGTGAACTTTTGTTGAGAAACTTTTTTTAGTCTATCCATTTTTTGCTTCTTGGCTTCTCAGAGTTGTCATGGTAGATGAAGCACATGAAAGGTCTATTTCAACATATGTTGTACTTGGTCTCTTGAAAAAGGTATTTCTTAAATTGCAGTTTATGTTGACTTTGAAATGTTGCCATGCCGACATCATTTTCTTGTGCTTAACATGTTGCCCTTGTAACCAAATTTCAGATTCAAAGGCGTAGGCCTGAACTGCGTTTGATTATATCATATACGAGTGCAACTGTACAAGTTTTGACAGTGGTTTCCATTCCCTATTTCCTCTTCTGGTGCAGGTGGGCAATGTTTATAGTTAATTAGCTTTCTCCCCTGTTGTGATTAATGATATATTGATATATTCAATTCAAGAAGACAAAGTGTTGATATTTTTGCCACCACTTATATAAAGAAATTCTATTTTTCTTCCTTCTTTTTCAATGAAATTTTAATATTGGTGTAAATAGGTGTTGAGCAAAATGTATGAGCAAAATTATACTTAATTCCTTTAATAGGAATGAATTGCATAGTGTAAGTCTGAAATTTGTGTAAGAAACCTTCTGTTAAATCTGGCTCCTATAGGTTTGGCATTATTGCTTGTTTATTAATTTCTTGTTTTTCATTGCTTTTGCACATTTATGTTTTCAACAAGGTCAATGGGAAGTACTTTTCAGAGTCTATGAAAGTACATGGGATCACAAATGTAAATTTTATATGAAGAGGCAAACAAATGCAGTCAGGGAGAGGTTTTATTTAAAGTAAGGAGTATGATATAAATATCCCCCGCTCCCACCCACCCCCCACCTCCCCTAGGTATTGTTATCATACTCTCTTCTTCAATTCTTGGTGGTCCTCTGTGTTTTGACTTTTTTTAGTGTTACTTGCAATTTTGTTCATGTCATTCTTCTGGGGTCACTCTTGTGTAGATAACCCATGTGAAATTTCTTCTCATTAAGTGAAACTTTGTTATACTATGCTTTGATTATTAGGATGGCATCCACAATGCTTATTGAAAAGCTCTCAATGAATCTCTGCATGATTTCAAGTACTAATCTGGGGTAGTTTTCCATGAGCTAAAGGAGTTTTACCCCCTGAGCTTTGGAGCCTGAAGGATGACAGAGTAAGCTATGGCGGAAGATGTGGAGTACTTTGTACACCTTTGAGGATTACACAATAAGGTGACCTTTCGTTTCTACACTTGGGTCTATCTTTGGATAGGTTTTTTGCTCCTTCATTTGAATTTGTAGCTTTAGATTTTGTTCATATATCTAAAATACCCGGGGATATGGATTCATTATACTAATTTACTTAGTTCCTGTGTCTAATTTTAACTCTTAAGGGTATGCTTCTGTGTTTATTTCCTGATCCGATATATGCTAATATGAGCTATCTATTTCATGTAAGAAGCCTGAATTATTTTTGGCTCCTAACCCATGTAAGCAACGCTTAAAGCAAATGACCCTATAATTATCCCTCAAAGAGGTGTCTGTGTTGCAGAGGATGTCCATGCTGTTTCCAATGTCAAAATGCAAAATGACTCATGATATTCAAGTTATGAATATGACATGTCTCCCAGATCTTTTATGGTTAGAAAATTTCTCATTCAGGATATAACCTGAACTCTCTCTTCGAACAGCCATTGAATTATCTCTTTCTGTGTCTAATGTTTCTTGTTGCTTACTAGCTGAAATTGACTATAAATTAAGCTTTCACCAGAGAAAAGTGGTTAGCATTTATGAAGCTTTTTGGTTGAACATTGGTCTATTTGCTCTCTGCATTTTTTAATCTGAATTTGAATCATCAAATTTCAGGAAAATGTCAGCAGAAGAGGAAAGGCAAAGGCAGGTTGGCATAGCAGAAGTCCCTACGTCGAAGTAAGGCCCGGTTCAAAACCGGTGCTAAATATCTTTGTTTTGAACCGGTGCGAAATGTATGGGGTTTTAGCACCCCCCAAATATAAGGACCGGTTCAAAACCGGTGCTAAATGGGGGGTTTGAACCGGTGCGGATTACGTGTTTTCGCCTAGTGTAATACCCACTATATCTCGGTCGGCTTCAATTCCATAGTACCTGGGTTTGAGGACTTGCCACTACTGGTGCCTAGAGAGGAATATGACTTCATCACGCTGCTTGATGCGAAAGGTAGCTTTGTGCAATGGCCACGTGATCGGGTGAGGTTGATAGGAGGGGTAAGTGTACACTACTTAGCTTGTCTTTAAAACATGTCGTAAATAGCTTGTACTATAACCATGTGCTTTTATGTTACAAATGAAAATCAATCCTCTAAAAGGAAGAAGGTGGAGAAGCCAAAATTTAAGAATGTCCGACCTACAAAGAACATGATTAAGGATAAGGGTTGAAGAAGAGTTCGAGAGGTTCTGCCACGAGTTGTACTCCACTAGTAGAACCCGATGTCCTTCATTCGCTCTCTAAAGCTTCTACTTTTCTTCACAACCGTGTTAGTGAGTTGCCTAGGGGTAGATCTATTGAAGTGAATTTACCTAAGGCATTGTTCCACTATGATGAGGATGGGATCGCACCAATTGCAAAAGAGGATGTGAAGGAATTTCTATCCGGTGCCATGCTTAACATTTCCATCAAGATTTCATGAGGTAATTCAATGCCACTATTCCTAAACATATTGTTCTTGCATTTTCGAATGTAAACAATGCAATTAATAATTATTCCCCACATTACTGTCATGAAGGGCACTACAGGAGCACTTTGGTAGTGGATGCAATTCCGAGGCTGCAGTTGGGTGGTTTTACCCCGAGCAGACCTCCATTACCAGATGCTTATGCAACCCTCGTGAAGTGGAAGATTACCTAGAACGGAGTATTAAGGAATCAACGTGTGCGGGATATAAGTTCATATTAGCCCCATGTTTTGAGGAGTACGTCTAAAAATGTCATAATTCAGTTGTTATTTTTTTCCAAATTCTGAAAATGCAGTTAACTGTAGCGTATATATGTTGACGTTTTTTAAATATATGCAGTGCTCATTGGAGCCTTTTGGTGATTTGTGTTTCCAAAAACACAATCTACCACTTTGATTCAGTTCGTGAGACTCCACCACGGAAGTTGCTGGTGAAGAACCTATTGAATAGGTACATATTGCTTCCTTTTGTTGATTGACGTCACCTAAATCATTGAGTATTTATGTTTCTAACTTTGAACTTATTTTCCTAGAGTGTTATGAAGAAGCTAAATTGTCGTTCAGTTGTGGGTCCTACGTGGAAATATGCAAAGGTAATGCCTTGAGTTAGTGATTTGTTTAATATACTTGGCTTCGGTTATGGCTATGCATGATTAGATTACCTTTGTGGCATGTCAGTGTGCGCAACAAGACAACGAACTTGATTTTGCCCTATACGTGATGAGGTTTATGCTTGACATAGTCAATAGTTGCATGGAAGCACAACACCTATATGAGGTATGCTTTTACTATATTCAATCTATTACTTGCTTCCATTATTGCACCGAACAAAACACAAGCATAACACGCATGCTGCCCAGGCAGCTGCAGTAACCAAGACAGGCAGGCCATACCACTGCAGCAGCCCAGGCAGGCAGGCCAGGCAGCTGCAGCAGCCAAGGCAGGCTGCCCAGGCACCACTGCAACAGCCCAGCCAGGCAGCTGCACAGCAGCCTCTACATGCACGTGATTTTGGTGCATTTCGGTGATTTTGGTATTTTTGGTGAATTTCTGTGATTTTGGTGCATTTTAGTGTTGTGATACTCATGACAATGTTTGGTTTTTTTTTTCCTCTAAAGTTTTGCAAGGTTCAAAGAGAAGGCTCGTTAACAAGCAAGGAAATCAATGAAGATCGCGACATGTGGGCTTTTTTCGTCACATTTGATGGCATCTAGCTAGAATTGTCGTAATGGTTATATTGGTTTTTTAGCTTAACTTTATTAATTAGTTATTATCAACATTATATATTTTAATTAAGTACATGTTAGTACGTTGTATTTGTAATTGTAATCTTAATATTTGTTTGGTGTAATTAAATATTGTTGTTCATTAAATATATTAATGATGTTACTTTTTATATAAAAAATTATTTCGTGTTATATATATCATTGTATTATTTTGTTTGTAATAATAATATTATTATTAATTAATAATATTAATTTTATTACTAATTAATAATAATAATTTTATATCGATTAATAATATTATTTTATTATTAATTAATAATATGAAAGGTCACTAATAATATTATTATATTAATATTATTAATAATTATTAAAAAAAAGGCTAAATTGGAAGCGGTTTGGCGCCAGAACCGCTTCCAATTTCAATTGACATTGGCAAGCTCCCCAAACCGAAGCGGTTCAAAACCGCTTCCAATTAGGGGGTTTGAACCGCTTCCAATTTAGTTTATTCTACTAGTGCTACTCAATCGGTAGCAAAGAACACAACGATAAGTCTTACCATTCATAGTCTGACCCAAACCTAATATTGGGACTGCTCGCAACCAGGCCGAAGTGTGATCCCCCTGGGACTTCCATAAGGCAACCTGACGCAGAGATAAGGAGAAAGTGGATTCCGCAGATGCAGTGACCTTCGTGAAATATATATGTGCCAATTTCTTCATGAGTTTGGGGGCAGCGATCTCACTTGGGTTACTCATAAGGTCAGTCTCCACACTCCTATTAAAAAGAATAAGAGCACCATTGAAGGCCGGTCCTGGACCAACAATACCAGAATTGCGAAGAACCGTAGCCTGAAGACTAGAAGACTGCAAACGCGTTGTTATTGTTATTGTTATTATTATTATTATTATTTGATCTTTTTTAGATTTTACTCTTTTTATAACATTAGAAAATGTGTTAAATAATATCAAATATTAATTATTATCATTAAATATTAATTATTATTATAAAATATTAATTATTATTAATATCAAATATTAATTATTATTATTATCTATAAATGTTAGTTGTTATTATTAAATATTAATAATAATTATTATTATTTTTATTAAATATTAATTATTATTTTTAAGTAGAGCAGAGCTTAGTAGAGTAGAGCAGAGCAGAACAGCTCAAAAAAACAGGATCTTAATTAAATATATAGTGAAGTTCAATATTAATTAACAATTGGATACTAAAAAAACCAATTATAGTATCCTAATATACACTTATTTATGCTCATTTTTATAACAAAATTATTTAATGGAAAATATATACATATAAAATATTTCGTTTGAGTGTGTATGGAAAAAATATAATTTCCAAAGTGGAATGTGAATATTAGGCGCTATAATTACATACTTTTTATTAAAGATAGACAAAAAAAAAACAAAAGAAAAGGTAAATTGGAGGAAAAATCTTCAACCAGTGGGCGGGCAATGGATGACATGTGTCATCACTCATCACTGGTTTCGCTTTTAGTACTAAGTTATTTGGTCAAATATTATTCACTAACTCACTATATCACCTTTGGAAAAGAAAAAAAAACCTCACTATATGACCTTGTATATGGATTTTTGGGCTCAGTTACTAAAAAAGTCGAACTCGAGTAATTGGCTGTTTTAGGCTTGCTAATAGTTCATTTGTAAATTAATTCTTATTGTGTTGTAGTTTTCATGTGAAAACCTAATATACATACGTAAATCAATCATCAATCAATAATAAAATACTAAAATAGACACCAATAATGACACTCATCACTTCCTGATACTTTTTTTTCCTCCAAAGCCCTCTTTTTTTCCTGTCAAATCTTCTTATAAATTATATTTAGCATAGCATTTTAATATAACCTTCGTATTAGACCACTGTATTTTTTCCATACAATAAAAAAGATTCATGCCATTTATAATATTATAGAAAATATCTTAAATTTTCCATATTCTTATGTAAAATATTTCCACATTTTTATATAAAATAGGATTCAATAATTTTCCATACCTATTATTTCATATTTTGTATATTATGTTGTCATATCTTTAAATAAGAAAATACATCATATTTTATTCCTTCGAATCTTCAATTTGCTATCTATACTAAAAGCGAACTAAAATGACATGTGTTTCGACCCTTTTTTTTCTTTTTCATTTTTTTTTTGTCAAATTTTTGTGCCATTATAATCTATAATATTTTCTTTCTATTTTGACAATCATATCTAATCCATATAGACCCTATTAGAATATTTCACATTTTTTATATACTATAATAGGTAATTTATTTAAAAAAATACTATATATATCGCACTATATTAGAATAATATTTATCCATGATGATTATAATATTATCATTCTTTTTTTCCTAACATCTTTATTTTTGGCTTTGAGTTTTTTTCGTTTTAAAATAGAAAATAATTTTAGTAGCGTATATAAATATATATATATATATTAATTTTCTACTCTTAAAACTATTAATAATATCATGTAAGTTTCTAACTAAAAATAATAATAATACAATACATAATCTTAACTAATTAATAAAATGAATTAATCTGTCGGTAATACAATTTTTCTTCTTTGTTATTTTTTACGTAATTTTCTTTCCCTACTTTAATATAATATAAATGTTTGCAATAACCTATTAAAAACAATTGTTATTATTTTAATAAATTTCATATATAGTACATTAATTAAAAGAATGATTATAATTATTACTTAGTAAAATAAAAAAGAATAAAAAAAATTAATTAATTTGCATTAAAAGTTTTTTTCAGTCAAAGAGTGTCAATTAAAAAAGGGACAAAGACATGTGATTAATTGATTATACCGTACGGATATTAATCTCATTATCCCTAAATTTCTTTCTTTTCATTGTATGAAGTCTAATACTAATGCATTAATGTGTCTTTGGTATGAGTATAAATTAATTTAGATTGAATTTTTTCCATTTTGAAAAAAAATATTCTTTTGGTAAGTTAAAATTACGTATGATTGAACTAATATTTTTCATTACATAATTTGAAAAATCGTGCATGGCACCGGATTTAAGCTATTATAATATACTCCGTACTAAAGTTATTAAAATAATTGCATAAATTATCTGTAAATACTTGTATAGATGAATTTTGAATCAATAGTTACGGTTATCTTGGTAAAATCTATAAATTTTGGTTAATAGCTACAGTTCACATCAAAAATATGATTCTTGGTTTTGTAAACTTTGTAGTTATGAAATCTGTTCAATAACAATTTTTGGATTGATAATTATTTGGAAAATTTGTCAAATAATACCTTTTATAACCCTTTTGTTGTGAAAAACCACCTTATAAAGTTTTTTTTGGTTAAAACACACCTAAAACCATAATTTTTTTGCGAGAACACACCTTAGGGTGGTTTTAGGGTGATTGACTTGGTTTTCCGGTGTTGACCCTCACGTGAAGGTCATGTGCCGAAACCCTTCCTTTCCTTTTCCCCCTTTTTGCTCCCATTACTTTCTCTCTCCTCAAAACCACCAAACCACAACCTATCACACCCATCTGCCGACACCGACACCACCGCCTAGCCAACCCAACCGCCGACACCACCACCCACCTAACCTAGCCTCCATCACCAGCCAGGCAGCCACCCAAATCATTCCAAACCCACCATGTACACCATCCATAACCATCCATCACCCTCCAAAACCATTGGACCCACCATGAAAACTACCCAAAAAAAAAACCCTAAGCATCTCCATAAACACCCCTAACCACCTCATAATCAACCCCAAACATCTTGACAATAACCCTTCCCTTAAAACAAACCAATAGAGAGAGAAGAGGGTTTGTGGCGGTTTTTTCCCCTTTCATACTTCCAATTAAAAACCCTAAACTAAGGTAAATAAAAAACTGACGAAATTAACAACCAACTTCATTAGTTTTAACAACTTACTTGCCTTAAATTTAGGTTGATTGAGGTTCTTTGGAGCAAATTTGAGCAAAACAATGGAGTTTGCCCCTTCAATTGATAGAATTCGAGGGTTGTTAGGAAGAGCAGAGGAGAGAGAAAGTCTAATTAGAGGGGGAAAAGGGAAAAAAGAAAGGTAGGGGTTTTTTCAGGTGGGTGGTGATGGAGTTGAGGATAGGTTTTTTCAGGTGGTTGTGATGGTGGTTGGGGTTGGCTAGGCGGTGGTCTTGGTGGTTTTGAGGAGAGAGAAAGAAAAAAGAAAGGGTGGGTTTTAATTCTGAGCGAGCATGTGACCCCCACGTGTGGGACAACGTCGGAAAATCGGGTCAATTCCATGAAATCAGTCTAAGGTGTTATCTCACATAAAAATCTGATTTTAGGTGTGTTTTTACAAAAAAAATAAAATTATAAGGTGGTTTTTCACAACTAAAGTGTTTTAAAAGGTGTTTTTTTTGACAAATTTTTCTATTATTATAGGTAAATCATCAAATAGAAGTGCAATCAAGGCCATCAACTTCCAATTCTTAAGCAAACATCGTCTCCCCATTAAATGATTCATATTGTTTGGGCGAAATAAATTTGAGCTCAAGTTTAAGGAAGTCGAGCTCAATCTTTATTTAACCCTTTTAAACTTACTTTTAACATACAAGAGAATGTTAAACTATAAAATGATTCAAGTATTCAACCATCAGCATACACCATGATTCCGGGTAACCTTTAATGTGATTGACCTTTCAAAATCTCCTAAGACAACCATAACAATTTTCTTCTTCTCTAATGCCCATTCAAACACTTGCCTCGAGTTGAGGGACCAAAGACAGTACGATATATGCTTATTATTGAATACAAGAAGATTACAGATTGGCAATGGTTCATTCTCCAAATCGAATAAATTGACACGAAAAAAAAATAAAATTTACAGCATTTTTTTTGTTCTCCTTTTCAGGAAGGAAAATTATCAAATCTACAGCACCTTCCAAGAAAATGCAGTTTCGGGCCAAGTCATTCTACTCAAGTGGTCTTCATTTGCTGCAAACAACAATTTCAAATCAAGTTAATTGAATGTCTGAATGCCATTACAGGGTAGCAATTTTGACATTAAACTGTTGAGTGCTACGTGTGCCTTACTCGTTTCTCTTCTTCCAATTTGGCCTTAATGAAAGAATACATGGCTACACCGGCAATAGC